AAATTATACTGGAAAGATTTAACACTTGCTATTTCACAGAAATTACGAAAGAACTGTAGTAAGCTCTGAATCATTTCTAACATTGTTTAGATTTTATCAAATCTGGACTTATACGTTTGTAATATTTCATCAATTTACTTATATTTTTTTCTCATTAAAACCTTCCACTCATAATAAACTTTTTTTTCTTCCAACTTATGAACTTTAGAATTGGTCATATGATTACTTGTTTCAGTTTAACTGAAAAAAGAGAACCGCACTTAGTGACTGTGCCTGAATCTGAATCTTCTCCTCGAAGTTCATCTTGGTTTTCCTTATTTGGTGGAGGTACGTTTAATAGAGAGGATAGGCCACGCTCTCCGATTTCATTTCTTTGGCGAACAAGTCAACGACAAAGCGATGCATCGAGTCGAAAAAGTTCTCCTGACGGTAGAAACGAATTCATGGATTTGCTTCGAAGAACTTCAGGAGCTTCAAGCAATGGTTCTGATATGAGTACAAAATTACCTGATAGTGCGCTAGCTGGTCTTTCAAATGAAGAGCGCAATCACATTGAAAAAGTTTGTTTTACCATTAATGTTTCTAGAGAGTGTATTTCGCGAAAATCGATCAATCTTAATTTGTTGTCTTGTCTGAGAATTTCAAGATACTGTTGTCTTTCATTCCAACTAGTTGAGAACGTATAATAATATGTCCTGCTTACTGAGCGCAGTATAATTTTTGATTAAGACAGAATATAGCATGCAAACCAGTAGTGTTCTTCGTCTAGCTTGTCCACTTTATGTTTAATTTACTGGCATATATTAGCAAACAGAGAGTCAGCTTTTTGTACATGTATCTGAATTTGAATTTCAGGTACTGAGCGCAGCTAATCGACGCTCTCGAAGTAGCCAATCAACACCGACGGCCTCGAGAAAGTCTGTGTTTTGTTTTTTTACGTTGGGAAAGTAGAAAACCTTATGTTCTAATTTTTTTCTTTAAATTATCAAAGGATGAATATCAGACTAGTTAATTTATAAGACAATAATATTTGATTTGCGTTGACAAATAAAATATTTTATTATTCCAAAATAGGTGAAGTTTTCAGACAATCTATGTACAAGCTTCCGGATATGAATGATTTCGAGTTATGCGAACGAACACATATCGAAGGTGTTATTGAAAAAGCCGAAAAAGGTGAATTCCCATTTGTTATCAAAGTCACAAATGCGGATGCCGTTAAAGATGATTCAGTTGATGTCGCTGATGTAAAGAAGTTTGACAGCGCCGTTGCTCAAACGTCAGGTAACACAAATCAGTCTGAAGAGTTATTAAATGGCAAATCAACAGTTATATTGGAGATACCATTAGGAAGCATTTGCTTATCTGAAGAACTGGAAGAACAGCAAATTGTTGAAGCGATAGTACCGGAAATTGGTAGAGTGAAATTTGAACAGGAATCGAGTTTGGATGTAAAACTTCATATCCAAGACAGCAGAAGTAGGTCAGTCAGTTATAAAATTCCAGATGCAGAGTTGGAACATATTCGAAAAGTCGAAGAAGCAGCTATAATTATGGGTGCTGACATTAAATGGATAAATTGTTCAAAAATCAGTCAAGAAATTGTTGAAAATCTACAGAATAGCACACATACCAATTCATTAAGAGAATCAGAAGCTGCTGAAAAATTAAGTGTATCAGAGAGTTCCATAGATTGGAGATCAGAGGCGAATATGAAGGATGCTCTAACAGTGACAGTTTTCCCGGTTGAAAAGGAAGAACCAGGAAAGACATTAAATACAAAAGAAACGATTTATGAAACACGAAAAGGGGAAACGGAAGATAAAAGTGAAGTTAACAGCATGGGCGATGCAAACTCACTTCATGAAATACCAAGTTTGGAATCATTCGTAATAAAAACGATTTCTTTTGAAGACGTCAACAAAGCAAACTTTGTCACCGCAGGTAAGGAAGGGATAAAAATTTCCCGGCATCACGAAGGACTAAGGAAGAAACTAACTGGGAAGGAAGTAATTCATAACGAGGAGCTTAAGGAACAAATGAATCAGTCCGACAGACTCGATAATTCTATTTCGAGGAAAATGGTAGAAAATAGGACTGTCAACTTGAGTGATGAAGAATTAGAACAGATTAGGTTGGTTAATGAGCAGGCAAAACAGTTGGATAAATTAGACGAATTCAGCGTTTCTGTATCTGGAGAAATAGAAAAATACAAATATCAAAAAACACAACCGTACCTTTGTGTGATCGAAGAAGAGTTAGGACAAAACAGAGCTGCTGAAGAAGAGTCAAAAGACAGTTCATTTCTAGATGAGAAAATCAACAAACAAAAGGAAGAGAAAGATGAATGCTCGACCAGATACAACATTCAGCAAACAAATGCTTTGGAGGAAGAGGCAAAAGGAATGGATTTGTTTGCTATTGTGAGAGCAGAGGAAAGAGCGATTGTTAGGAATCCAAGAGAAAACAAAGATATTCGCTTTCCTGAGAAAATTTTAATACGCACCGTTGAAAGAACACAACAATTAGAAGAAAATGGTATGTGTGAGAAAAAAGAAACGGAGATAATGCAACAAAATGTTCTGACTGAGGAGGAATTGATGCAAATACAAGCCGTAGAACGACGAGCAAAACAGATGGAGCAGATTTTCAGTTTTGAAGGGCAATTCACAAAAATGCTTGAAGGAAGGGAAGTTCCAGACTTGACAGTAAATAAATTGGTTGCTGTAGAAAAGCTTGGGGATCGTTTAACTGAGGAAGAGCTGGAACACATCAAAGAAGTGGAGAGAAATGCTATTTGGGAGTTTGAAATGCCACTTCTGGAACGATTCAACGCGAAAAACGACATGATCGGTGAAATAAATGAAGTGGAATTCCAGCAGAAAGATGTAGCACTAGGTGAAGTGGCTTTCGACAAATTTACTAGCATGCTGAATCCACTCAAAAACACTGTCATTACGACGCTGTCCTTTAACAATAAAGCCGATAAGGCAAAACTTACCAAAAACGCTGAATCTGCAGAAGATATATCAAAAACAAACATGCAAATTTGCGGAACATTAATGAAGGCATATTCTGAAAATCAAAATTTTGATAGTGACATATCAACAGCAAACGAAAGTAATATTAAAGTTTTGGCAACAACAACGAAGGACTTAACTTCTGTACAAACAGTTAATGAATATCCTGAAAATCAAGATTCCGAATATATATCCTCAACTGAGTCATCAAATTTTGGTCCAGGAACATCAGATGAGGATGAAGAAACAGATAAGAACAATCTGGAGTCGACCGACATTTCCCCTGAAACAGTTTCTTCAACTTCGGAACTTAAAAATGGTACTACTTTTTCAAAAGTGAAGGAACCTACAGCAAAAGAAGATACCAACAAAAAAGATATGGACTTGTCCTTGGAAGTTATCTCAAATACCACTGATACGGAGCTTTTGCCGAACAGCGGAACGGAAGTATTCAGTCAAAGCAAATGGATTTTAGACATGGCCTCTTCTTCATTTTTGATAGATGTAACACATGCTTGTGCACAGTTAGACGTAAAAGATAGTCTTACAGATAAACAGAGCGTTGATAGATTTGCTGGGTTAACAAAAGAAGAAATTGAGCATATTAAAATGGTTGATCTTCAGTTCGAACATGAGAATGCTGAAGACAAATCAGAAGTTTCTATGCATAATAATGATGATTCAGAAGTTAATGATATTGCAAATTTTGTAAACGAAATGATTGTGGAAAATGAGGAATATGAACTACAAAAAAAAGATTCAACAATTGACGCAACAGAATTGAAAACCTTACATATCATTGACGATGATGATAAAGTGATAAATAATACTGACGTAAACATCAAATATACAGGAGATGAGAACATATTACATGATGAAATACCGCTGAAAAAGTTTACTACAAATGATACGCTGTTGGAACGATCAGTTGAGAGAGATTTAAGAGCTCATCAACAAAGCAAATTATGGCAAAATGCGCATGTGGAACAAAATAATGAAGTGAAATCATTAGAGGAGCTTAGACGCGAAATAAACATTGGGAAATGGTATGAAGAGGAGCATTTAAGTTCGCTGAGAAAGTCATTATGTGCCGAAGAAACTGCTGAAATCCCAGGTTTTGATTTAAAATTGTATAATTTGACCATAATTACATTCTTTCGGTTCATTAAAATTTAATTAACCTATTTAAATAATAACGAAAATATTTTTATTTAGTTATTCAACTGCCTATCTTATAGACAGCACGATCGTGTCGCTAAAATTTATTGTATGGATTTAAAAAGTGGACAAAATAGAGCTAAGCAAAATAATTCTTAACATAATTTCTGTGAATTGTTGCCCAATTATTAATACTGAAAATATTTAAAGGAATTCCATTTCATATTTTCGTCCCCACTCTGTTATTCGTTTTTAATATATTTTAACCACTACTTCGCTAATATGAATGAACGAATGCTAATAATAGTAATATCATAAAATTTGCTTCTTTTGAATTTGAGATCCTAAAGTTTTTGAAATCAAACAATTTGAACGAAGCTTTTTTAGTGTAAAGCCTAATTCTGAAGTAGCGCAAATTCAGCAGCCAGAAAGGTGGAAGCAGCAGTCTTATAAGTATATAATGATTAGGAAATATTAGTGCTTAAAAATAAGATGATGGAAAAAACAAGCTTGCCATACAACAGTGCACTTATGAACCAAGTCCCAAAACTTATTCCTGAATAAATGTTGATCCTAATACAAAAATAAAATAAGCGTTTAATGGTGGATTGATACAGATGGCAAAGTGGAATTAAACTTTGAATAAATTCAGTAAATATGAACTTCAGTTTATTCATCGTTAATTTTCTTTTATGATTATTTTTAATGAAATTGATTTTCCTTGCATTATCAGACAGCAAAAGTCAAATACATGTAATATATTGGATTTTTTTGATATCGTATCCGTCCATTCAATAAATTCGAAAATATTTGCTCTTAGAAATGGAAAAAGAAAGTGCACCGGGAGAATCATTACATTTGCTGCCAGTGCTATCATCATCATCTTCATCATCACCTATGACAACATCAACCAAACGCATGAATTTCAAAACGGAATCGATCGAACTTTCAAAAGTCTTTAATACAAGCAACCCAGGCATTGCGCATTTGCCTATCGATCAAGCATCACAACTAGCAGCAGCACCGGCAGTGCAATTCTCAGAAACGTTAGCATTGGATGTACATTCCGGAGAGAGCACGTCGCAGCTTTATGCATCATACTTGGCAGCTTCAGCAACATTACAACAAACAAAACTACAACAACAGTATTTACCAGGTAATGTCTTTGTTTAGTAATCAAGAGAGAGGATGAACATTATCCCAACGATGAACATTATACCAACCATGTGTTATGAGCATATCGATCAATTTGAAAATCTTGAAAAGTCTTGTTTGTGAAATGAACATTTGTGAGAACAGTAAGAGTTGTAGGGATGAACATTTCCTACTTTTTTAAACACAGTTTTAAAATGTTGCTTCAATTTGTAAACACAGGAAAAGAGAATCAACGAAATACCGAAGGTGAACAACGTGTTGCTGCAAAAAGTATGTTTGGTTCATTGTCGCGTTTGGCTGGTGACGCACTCAAGGGAGCGAAACAAGCTACTGAGCAACTTGCGCAAGTTGCTCAGTATGCTGCCTCTACTTCTGACTTAACAACGATTACCAAGGTTGGCAGGCATTTTTTTTTGGCTTTCTGGTAGCATAGTAAGCTGGTAATGAAGTGAAATTTTCGGCAGTTTATTTAAAACTTTTTTTGAAGGTATTTTCTACTTTGATGGAAAAAATCATTTTAGTCTCATTATTTTCCGCAAGATGTTTGACTAGGTCATTTAGGTTTAAATCCAAATTTGTTCTCGATGTATTGTTTTTCGTATTCTTGCACTATATTTTCGGTTTTTCTTTGAAGTGGAATTAAAAACTGTTAGATTTTCTTCAAATCTGTATATTAATGATCTCTAAGTACAAAAGAAATAAAAAATAGTTGAGAGTTGATTTTTCAAATTTTACGAAATTTGACGCTTGGTTTATTGCTGTTTGCAGAGTGCCTGCTGATGAATGAGAAATTTATAGATGTTAATTTGTAGCCAAAACCTCCGCAAACGGTAATGTCATCACATTCGATATCTCCAAATGCATCCTTTACTGAAAATGATTTATTGTCTGGTTTGGGCGATTTATCAGAAGAAGAACGTCAAAAAATCATGGCGGTAATGGCAAGCGCTGAATTAGACACGGCATCGACTAGTGTGTCTAGTTCATCAGTTCCGGTCAAAATATCTGTTTCACGTACATTGGATTCATTTTTCAAGAACGAGGATCAAAGGTTGCTCAAAAATTTGTAATCTGTAGATAGTAATCCTTCTCTCTTTAAATTACAAATCATGTTAATTCTTTTCACTGAACTAATGGTATTGTCGTAATTTAATATTTTCAGAGATACCAAAGGTGGTTTTCCTGAGCAATTAATAGTGGATTCTGTCTCAGTTAGTGAACTAGAATCGAAGTCATCTGCTACGACGAAGATTTTCTCCGCATCCTCAAACATTATGGGTGAAGTGGATTTGTCATGTTTGTCACCAGCTGAACGAAACCAAATTATTAGCGTAATGAAAGCTGCTGAGTCCGAGGAATCAAATTTCATCCCACCTGTATTACCATTGCTTCCAACATCGGCGGCACCACTTTCAATTCCTTCAATCAATGGTTTGTTCCTTAATTAAAAGATTTTGATCTAAATCACTTACTTTTTCCTTGTGCTAAATTTAAGAATAATCCAGAGGATCAGTTAAATAACGATTAAATACAATTTTCTACTAATTCATTTCTTGGAGAAACTTTTCCACTGAATCATTTTTTTTCCCGAACATTTTTATAGATGAATTTCACGATAATTTAGCGGAACTTTTGCCAGCCGAGAGAGACCAAATTTTAGCCGTGATGAAAGCCGCACAAGAAGAACATTTCGAAGCTACTCACGCGATTTCATCTCAGCCTGTTTCCCAAATTGGTATTTTTTTTCCCCTGAATTCTTAAAATGACAAAAATTTACGTCTAAAAATCAGGTTCATTTTAATTAAATAACGTATAGAAACAATATTTGAACAAAGCAGGGTTATAATAAAGTGTATGTAATCGATTTATACCCTGTGCACTAAATGAAAATGATCTGTTTCAGATACATCAGGGGAAAAAGACGAATGGCAAGAAGGTAAAAATTCTGTTGGTGATCGAGAGATGGAGAAGCATGAAGTCTTAACGAAATTTGTGGAATCCTCTACTTCATCCTCCACCGGTGTCACACTACCTCAAATCGATAGTGATTACACGATAACTGAAGATAGCAGCTGTGATGTGGGTTTCAGGTATCCAAGCATTGTATCGAGCATTATTACTGGGACTGATATCCTGGAAACAGATACCCCATCAGTACTTGAAAGTAGTGATTATGATAGCGCTGATTTTGATTACACTTACGGAGATGACCGAAGGTTTATATTTGATGGTGCCAGTCAAATGGAAGATTATCCGAAAGAAAATCATGATGCAGACAGTGGTATTGGAACTCTCGATTGGTCCGATCAGGTGAAATTCATTTCACTTTTGCAGTGTAATAAAGAAGTTCATCCTTCTGGTTATCTTCAAATTATCTGTTAAGTGCAAAAAGAGCATTAATAACACTTATCAAGTTGTACTGATCCAACATTACACTCCATTGGTTATAGCATAGATGACTTTAGTTATTGCTTCTAAGTCCCCTGCTGATTTTGAATGCAGTTGAAAATAAAGAGTCAGTACGTAAATGATGAAATGTAATAATTTTAAGGGACATTACGAATGGACTGAACGGAAACCTCGAATGTGGACAACAGTTTTTACCGAGGAAGAAGAGAAAAATGACGTAAACATGCAGAAACATGGAAGAAGAGCAAAAGATTATATGGAAACAGATATGAAAGCAACTGATTTATCTGATTCATCATCACTGACTCATCACCACATTAACGTGATTGCTGATGGTCATTCTTTGTTTTTATTGGTGGTCGGAGCTTATGAATGGGACGAAAAACTTTCAGCGTCTTTTTGAACTTTCGAACAGATTGCACTTTCCAATTTTGATAATTTGGTGATTAGAAGATATAGAATTACATTTTTCAGATTGTAAGGACACTGTTAAAGAATCAAGTGATACTACTGAAAAAAATGCACTTAAAGTAAATACAGTTCAGAATAGTGATGGATGGCTTTTTACTAGTAATGTAAGTCCCTTCAGTTCAATTTGTCTGTTTATTTTTTTAATGCTATATAACAATTTCTCAATTTTTCTTTTTCAACAAATTCGATTTTAAAATTCCAGGACAATCTTTCTAAAAAGGCTTTAGAATCGCAAACCTCTACTGCTCAATATGAGATACTGCAAGCTGCGCACATAATGCGGTTCGTTATTTCCATCAAATTTTTGTTTAGTGAGCTATTTTGTTGTTTTCTCTTTTTTTCTAATTCTTTATCATTCTCTAGAATTCCACCAGCAATAACAGTAACTGATCACGATGACGGGATCCGAATAGCTGCTGATGACGATTCTGATGCTGAAACAAGTCCATCTTCTGATGAAGATGACTATCCTGATCAGGTTCATTAATTTTTTATTTAAACTTTTAGATTGCAGCTACATCACTTTCATTAAATAATTTTAGGTAATCGAAGTGCCCTCTGCACCGCTGATATCGTATGACGAAGTGGAAAAAGAACAAGAACAACAAGAGGCATTTGGTAAAGCTGTTTTGCAACAAATACAGGTTGAAATTTTTTCTTGATTTTTTGTTTATTGGCTGAAACATTGATAATATTATTAAATCTGAGGTCTTTTTGATTTGATTAATCAAATGAAGTATCAACAGTAAGTTTTAAATTATTATCAGGCTTTTGGAGAAGTAGCAAATGATGAATTTGATGTTCAGTGGGTGCATGATAATTTAATTAGAAGTGAGGCGATAAGTAATATCTTTGCACACGATGAAAGTACGACACCAGCGGTAAAGTTTTTTCCAATACGAATTCTTTCTTTAGTATATTTACCATTTTGACTTTGATGACCATGTTATTGATAGCGAATTGATACTAGATTGCTTACGACGAGGTCCTATTATCAATGGAAACTGAGCACACTAATAAAGCAGCAAGTTTGAATAAAACCACCTCTGAGAGGAAAAATCCATTCCTGGATATTGTTGACACTGATAGTGCATTAAAAATCGTGGAAGAAAATGTAAGTAAAAAGATTTTCTCTTGATATAAACTTGTAATTTCTTCTCTCTAAATCCTGCTACAAAATCAAAAAATAATTTGTCTTCATCAGTTTTTTATTATTTCTGACAATGCATTTTTGAATAATCTGTGTGATATTGGTGATTATTAGTGTGAGGAAAAAATTGATTATAGTCATTGGAGGCTGATGTTGATTACACAGCTGCAGCTAGCTACTACAGCAGTCCATCATTTTTAAGTCATAGACCTGGTTCCGTTTACACAATTCCAGAGGATAAAGAACAAGATGATGGATTGGTCAATACTGATTCCAAGTTCTACGGTAAGTTGTTTCATAAAATTGCATAAAGCCAAATCAGCAAGTGGCTATATAAAAGCAAGATTTCAACTTGCACCAGTGAGTTATTGGTGAGAAATATTTCTTCTATGATGTCACAAATACTTAAATTATAAGAATTGATGGTCGAAATTTAGCAAAAGAAGTGGTTCGCAGAATTCGCGCAGAACCATCAAGTTTAAAAGCAGTTTCCAAGTCCACTGCGTTTAGTGAAACAGCAAATGTGTTGAATGTGATTCCAACTTTGAGTCCTGCTCAGAAAGGTAAACTTTAACGACTACCTGTTTCCAAAACAGCAGGTAGTTCTAATTTTATACGCTTAAGCCTCTCTTATTTTGTCCTGTTTTAATTGTCTTGTAATGAAAATTTTGCAGAAACTTACTCCAAACTGATTCTAGGCCGAGATGTGACAACTACCGTTTACAGTGGTGACTACTATAGTCAGTTACAAAAACGCCAGGATGAGATTTCAAAACAAACATTGCTTCATGATACAGAAGCGAATGTATTATCTCCTGCGGTTGATGTGAACAGCTCTGAAACTTCAAGACAGTTGGAAAATATCACTACGTCTTGCTCAGTTTCACAGAAAGTCAGTCAGTTTGATCAATGTCACTATAAAATTTAGAGAGAATAGGGAGAATGTATGCCATCTTTGAATCTTTTAAAATGCGTAGCACTGACTGTATTTACGAACCATGCGACATTTCAAAAAAAAAAAAAAAAAAAGAACGTTTCTGGTTTTTTATTACTTCCTAAAAATAAATGTGATTATGAATTGAAGAAAAAAAATGTCTCTGGTTTCCTATTGCTTCTTAAAAATTAATGTGATTATGAATTGAAAAAAAAGTGTTTCTGGTTTCTTATTGCTTCTTAAAAGTGATTGTGATTATGAATTGATTTGACTCGACTGTAAAGCAAAATTTTGTAGAAATAAAATTATAAACTTAGTATTCATGAGGAAAAAGGATATATATTTCTCCATATTCTCTGATTCAATTTAGCTGCTGAAATGAACATTGAACTTAGGCTTCATATCATGTTAGAATGTTAAATAGCTCACTAGAGAGTATGGAGGCAAAGGGAATTTCAACCACACTGGAAAGCTTGTTTTCAATTATATTCATTGGTAACTTTGTAAAATTCAGAACAGTTTATTCGTGCAGGAGCCTACTTCATCTTTGCTCTCCAATGGTGTCTCATTATGCAGCAGTACTACGGTTTTTAACATCTCACCACGTATTATATCAACCAGTTTCGATGGCATCCAGAACGGACGGATCGATGAAATGGAAATCTCCACAAATTTACCTATCAGTAGTGTGCTATTTTATTTAGAGCTTTTTCTCTTCGTCTTCTTTTCCTCTTAATAAGTTCGCTTATGGCGATCAGTTCTATTCTTAAGGAAATCGATTAAAACTAAGTCGGAAGTATTGTTGCCATGACTTTTTTCAAATATATATTTTTTTCTAAATTCAAATTACCTGGTTGTCTGTTTGTTTATGGTTTTTGATGTATTATGCTAAAATGATCATGTTTCAGAAAGTGGTTCTGGAACTGAAGTATTGAAAATGAGTTCGGGAATAACCCATTTTTCGAAAAGTGATGCATTATCAGATTTAGTTTGTAGTGCCTCAAGTTTTCAATGCATGATGAGGCCATTCAATTCATCTTCCAAAGAAGAATCTGCTTTGTTATCAGAAACACTAGGAATTGGATTGGATTCGAACGTTCCAACTGTATCATCCAAATTTGATACCGACTCGACAGCCACAAGGTTGTTAACCTCCATCTGATTTGTGTATTAAGTTAGTGATGTACTAAAGTTTTCTCTACAAGCTTCTTGTTAAATGTCCTTATGTAGCGAATGAAATCCAAGAAGAGTACTTCCTTGTCGCATTCATGATTTCGAATTATCCATCAGTTTAGATTTCGATTCATTTTTTGCTTACGAAAAATAAAAAATTGGTTTTTTAGACTAAAACGATCACCAGCTATGATGTTAATGGGTAGTCAACAGCTACACGCTGCTAACATGTCTACAACTTCCGAATTATTGGCCACAACTTATGTCCCAGCATTGTTTTCACAGACTATTCCAAAAGAGGTCATTTAACCTTTCTTCTCAGTTGTTTTAGATTCCCAAAAAATTATTTCTTGCCGTTGTTAATTTAATTTTCTGTTAAGTACGAGTATCTACTTTGCTTCTAAATTCAAATATCTTGAACTTATCCAACTTCTTGGAAACCTCTTCCCTGATATCAAGAGATTTATAATTAAAGTACTTGAAAATAATAAAGTCTGCACATTTTGCATTTTTTTAAAATTTAAATTTAAAAAAATGTTTACAGTGCTCATAGGTTACTGCAACCTTGCTAGGAAAAAGTCCCAAATAGTTCTAATAGCGAAAAATTAATAAAAAATGTGAAAATAATATTAGCAGTAAATTGTCACTGCAACTATGAAAATCTGAAATATTCAAGGAATAACTGTTTTTTGAACCAAATTCTGGGATCCAGTAATTTACTTATCAATTCATTTCTAAATAAATAGTTTCAACGAACAGTTAATATGATGCAGCTGGAAAGAAAAGAACATGCTTAAAAGGATATTATTGTTGTTACATTTATTTCATTTTTTCAGTTTACTTCTCAAAACAGTCACTCTCAGGAGATTTTAGCAAATTGTGTTTCTTATTGAGTTTTCGATTATTTTCAAAGAGGAAAGAAAAATTACTTATTTTGTACACGAAGAAATATCACTTTTCTTCAAGAGAAGAAGTTGCATTTATAATAATTACTTAACTTGACACATCATTTATCCCTTAGTTCACAGTGGTTAAATTAAAAAAACAGTTTACGGTAATAATTAATGAAGTGATTTGCAGATGCATCTTTTGGAATTTAATTTGCACGATACGTGGAAAGTGAGGAAAAAGAGTTTCAAGTATTAAGCACTGATAGTAATATTAGTTAGCATTAGTAGTAATGCGATTCGAGTATTGACTTCATGGAAATATTTCGTGTGTGGTGGAAATGGTTCTTTTCAATCCCCTGGGGGAACATTATGCACGCATGAATATAGTGGTGTCTCGCTGTTCGCTATAAAATTTATCCCTTAGTTCACAATGGTTAAATTAAAAAACAACTATTAGCAGTGTTAGGTAAATCAGTAATCTGAAATAGTTCTGTAGATAAAGAGATCTGTGTATAACTTCAAATTGATTAGCAATGATATCATTCTAAGTAACTCTTTTTTCTTCTGCTTCTTTCCCAGAATTGCTAGAATTCTATGCATATAAGACTGCAGAAATTCAAAAGCTAAAAATTTTAAGACCGCAGAAGATTTCAGCTGTAAAATGAATATTCTTGGAGAGGTGTCTGCCACACGTTTGTTTGAGATGGGAACTGAGGTCGTAGTGGGTAGAAAAAATTTTCCTTGAAATTATGACTATGTAAGAGCATTTCCTATTTTGTGACATAATTTAGAATTTCCTGCTTTTCTGCATTACAACTTTCAATGCTTTTCATATTAAATTTACTCTCTCTGTCTATTTTACAGATATCCATCCATGTTATATTATCAATATGGGTGTGTCATATATTATGTATGTACGTCCGTGTGCGTGTTTGTGTGTGTGTTTTAGTAGAAAAAAAGGGATTTAGTAGACGTTATAGAAAGAAGGCCTAAAAGGTTCGCTGTAGTTCTTTCGGGATTGGCCAGTGAGCTTTAAGCCAGGGAGCATCGAAATGGTTGGGCTTATTCGCTTCTGCTATTGTTGTTGCTTCAATATCAAACAGTGAAAAGCAGTGCTTCTTAACTGTCCTTCTTTCGACGCATTTTTCTCGTCTGCAGTTTTCATTTTCTTAAATTCTTCCATTCTCTGGTTATCGTCAAGAACCTGCCTGAAGTAATTACTATTGGTATTGATGTCAAAATGCTATCAGTTTTTAATGATAGCTCATCAGTTTAATCCGAACATTTCCAGGAATGTCTTCCTTTGGCTCTGCTTTTCTTTACTGATTGAATTATTCCAACTTTAATTTGTTTGTAAATTACTTTTGCCCCGGCAGACAGTTCTAATTATGGAAATTTTGTGATTTAACAGAATCAACGAACGGATGATACAACAACAAATCGGTATTGATTAACATCAATTTCTTTAGCATTATGATACAGATTACTTGATATGTCGTCGATACATATATATATAGCACTTGAGCTATACGTGTGTATAATATATGTGGAGGGTGCGCGTTGATAAAATGAGCTTGCACTTCAGTGATGTCTCTTGGGATTGATTTTCTTTTTTCGACAAATGGAGGTTGTTTGCTAGCAAAGCTTAGCTACATAGTCCCTTTACTCTATCCAGTAATAACGGCAACCACAAACTGCATTTCTTGAAAATTCTTTTCCTTTCATCCCTTTGCTGCCAGTGCTAAACATTTCTCCAATGATATGCTTCAGTAATAAAATTGCAAATTCCGGAGTATCTCAAACAAACTTAAGGAAATTCTCCGAAAAATGCTATCGGGGCATTCACACGTGTTCCATCCAGACTTTAGCATATTACTGAATGGTTCGTATACAGTATAGATCTATAATAATTACTGTTTCTTTGTATCAAAAAATAGTTTATTTCGATCCAATATGAATAATGCTAATAAACAAGCACGAATATGACAATGTTTACATGTCTTTTAGAAAGATAATGAAAAGAGTAAATCTAGAAAATCTTCGAAGTTTTTGATTCCAAGAAAATGATGCGAACAATTTAAAGTTTTAAATTTCAACGAGTAGTAATGTCCTAGACATCGTTAGATGTTCCAACTGTCCAAAAAACGTAAAGTTGCACATTAGGAAGTAACTGTTGAGTAAAGAGATGCCACCTTAGTGTATTTGGAATCTCATGAAATTTATACAGTCGCATTTCAGAAATATTCTCTTACGTATTTTCTATTAATAATCCTTAAAAATTAGCTTTAAAGTGTTTGGGAAATTTGACTGCCAAAACCATTTCTTTTTCCAGTGTCTCTTCTGCTAATTCAAATAACTGAAACTAATCATAATTTGTGCAGAACACGTGCACGTCTTTTATTCTAGCAGCGGCGATAACTTGTAATAGTTACTAATTGATAGTGAGGCTGCTAAACTGCGGACTTTGGGGTGTTGGAAAGAAAAATGTAAACTTCAGAAAACGATGAATTTCTTTGAATGAAAGTTGTGTGAAGCCTGTTGCGATTGTGTAGTTCACTTATAAAGTAAATTTAAGTAATTCCTTATCATTTTATGTAGATAAATTACAAGTTATGAAAAAGGAAACAAACATTTGAAACCTCTTGTAGAAATATCAGAGATAATCGAGACGTTTACAGGATGATGTACAATGTTCGACATCACTGGAGATGGGAAGACGAAAGCTGCCTTCGATACCAACACAGCGTGCAGAGAAGGTCAGCGAAACGCCTCCCGCTCCAGTCTACCTCACGTCAAGCGCCCCAACTGTATCTCCATCTCCCGACCGACAATATCATGCTCAGGATTCTCGTGCCTACTCACAACCCACTCCTCGTACTGCCTCTCTAAGCAACCTGTCATTGCCATCCTCTTCATCAACCGCCTACTGTCGCACGGTAGATCCTGCCATTCTTCCCGGAGCAACAATCGTTCATGCAAAACCCAAATTACTCCTTCGACAGACCACTTCTGCTGCATTGGGTGATCGCTCGACTGTACTGGGACAAGCGTCCGGTACCAAAATGCCCAGTCCACTTGCTAGAGTATTACTGAAGAAGGAACTGAAGGAGGTCTTGGAAAGAAGACGAGAATCCTTGGAAGCCTGTGAAATAGAGGCTAATCAAAGGCAGTACATTGTACATCGAATGCTTATTACTGGTCTTCTGCCTGAATATCGCTCTGTTGACATTGATAATATCCCTAATGTGATACCTTGCCTATTGCCTGTTGAACTTATAAGTGGTGCTCGTGTGGTGCCAAGTGAAGTACCAAGTGCGACAACCTCAGTGACGACCACTCCCGTTCCTGAACGTTCTTTTGTTCCACCCTCTTCATCCTCAGTCCAAAGTGGTACCCAGGAAGTGGGTATCTGCACCGACGATTTTGGTTTAGAACCGAAATTGAAGTCAGTTGGAGTTCAGTCGGAAAATTCTTTTGCGACTACAACTGCTTACTCTACCATATCTAGCTCAGTTTGTCACGCTGCTACCAGTTCACTCAGAAGACAAATGAAACATGATCGACTCGATGCATTCACTACCAATACCGATGCAATAACGGTGCTTCAACCGCGATTCCGGTCCACAGAAACGCAAACAAATGGCACTACGACCTATGAAATTCATAGTAACCGGTCATCTAGTCGCCGTCACCGTAATTCAGCTAATAACTTGTTTTCTGCTTCGGAACCAAATTTGTTGGAATCTACGGCGAAGTATTTCGCAGAATATGATAGGCAACTTCGGGAACATGGACGACGGTTGAAAAATCGATTTGCTTTCAGTGATGATGATCCAATAAACAGAGAAACCAGAAAGCAGAGAGTTATGGATGAACTTGCGCAAAGAAAAGAAAAGATTTCATCTATGATTGACTTATATTCACCATCTAGTTTTCCAGTTATTCATCTCACTTCTGACTATTCATCCACTGTTCCGCATTATGGATCTTTACCAAGGATTGATTTCCCTACAACACGTTCTCCTCGATCAAATCGACACGACTATATAAATCGAAATCGTAATCGGCCTTCATTTGGATATGGATCACTTCCACGGAATTATGAGCGCTATACTGACAAAAGTTATGCTGATGCTCAGAGTGATTATTTCCAATCACTTCCAATCCCAACAGGGCGTTATAATGCTCTTTCAAGGTCCTGGCATAATGTCAATCCCATTAGTGTGGATGATCCCATTCTGGATTCAAGAACGAAGCTTTATGCCACTCGGTCTACGAATTTAGATCCATGGTTACCATATCAACAACGTCTTACAGAATCAAATGTAACTTTTGGACGTCCACTGATGAAAGCTGCATATGATGATTTGTATAGACCGCAGTATGTACCTGGTGCACGAGCACAAGATTTTGACGGTTCTCAAAGTCTGCCTAATACTGATATTATCTCGCAGTACGCAAATTATCTGAGTAATCAATTTATCACTGACCAAGAGAAGCTCATGAGTGGTTATCCGGCGGAAGAGCGAATGTATCTCAGTCAAACCAAAAAACGTCCTTACTATGCTCCCAGATATAATTCTCCTACTACCAGTGGTCAGGCACTACCCACGGTAAACTATGAGGACTCGTTAGCTGCCATGAATTTTGATTCAGCACGCTCATATCCAAATCAACCAATTCAACGCCCTATTATTCCTGATCCTCACATAAATTTTCCTTCTTATATGCAAACTGATCATTACGAAACCTGGCCATGGTGCCAACAACTCTCTAGCGTGAATAATAGCACACTTGACAATAATGCAATATCACCTTATCATTATTCGAACTATTTTTCTCCGACACCGAATGTCCTCCTTGAAGCTTCACCTCTTCCTGGTCAGGTATATAGTAGAAACGACGCAAATTATGGCTCGAGACCGTCGCATTATGCCACTGAATACGGCAATTATTATCGGGACAGGGCAGCTCATCAGGTACGAGACTCTTCAAACAAGAATTATGCTGTAAGAAGTCACTATCCTTATACTTATTCTACCCAATACCACGGAGCCGACCGTTATCGTGGTATTAGTGAGCAACCTTATTTACCAAATCAACAATCCTTATTTCTGGATAGCTATCCACCGACCTCCCAACATCCTATTCATGCTATCAGAGCTTGGTCCAATGGAAATATTCCAATGAACTGTTACGATGCCATTTATCCAAAAGAAGATGTTCTGAACCGCATGTATTCAACGCTGAACAATCAACGTTCTATACGTCCACAACATTACGGTAATGGTGCCACCTCATTTATGTATTCATAGGTTGAAAACTGAAATTTTTATATAAAAATTTTGCAAATGGTTTTTACCCATTTTTCTCGAAGTTTTAAGGAACAGGAGCTAAATTTCATTTGTCAAATACCGTTGAGAAGACATCAAGGAATATTTCTTCTGCTAGGTTCTGTAAGGCTATAATTTTAAAATGCATTTGTATAAGTTCTAATTCATAAAGTTTCAGTTTAATATTTAGTGGTAACTAACACCATATTTCCACAAATTTCTCTCGAATTCGTTAATGTTCTTGGATGCTTTGTCATTTCTTGTTATTTGAAATCACCCATCATTGATTACTAATGGTTTTGGCCTCGAAATGTTGTTAGCTTCTTCATGATGCAGTCGTGTCAAATTCTCTTTTGAGTTTTTTTAAGCACTTTATTTTTTAACTTCATGATTCAAACATGGTGGTGCAGAGGTTGGATAATCTCATCAGGATTTTATTATTAATATTTTATTCGTTCATCTAATGCTCATATATTTATTGATTATGTATGTGTATTAACTACGATACAACTGTGATGCTGAGGATACCAGTTTGTTTCCTGTGCATAATTAGTATTTGCTATTTTCACTCTATGATAGTCGTCGATCCAGAGAAGTTACATTTAATTTATGTATTTCGATACTTTTTAAATTAAACTTAAAGCAGCATAAGAAAAGATACAAGCAACAAGGCAGTATATTTCAAATATTGCCTTTTTTGGATTATTTATATTCAAGGGATCTGAATATTCAGGCAATTTCCTTATATTCCATCATTGGTTTCTAATAAACATTGGAAGACGAAGTGTTTTTAATTCATTTCTTGTAATATGTATGATATGGCAGCTTCGAACTGAAATCTTCCAATATTCAATCATAGTTTTAACATTTCTCATTTCATGATTTTACATTTGCAAAATTGAAATAGTGAGCTGCATTGTGATTTTAAAATCTTTGATATTGAGAATATTTAAGTTATATGGTTTCAGCACGACAAGGATTGCAATACATTAGTGAATTATTGCATACCATCGTGAAGGTCGCTTTCTCTCTGCGATCTATTGAATCATTAGTGTTTAGAAATCTTCTTTTTCCATTCTTTTTGCGTGTTGCAAGAACTTTTGGACTTTAATCTTCTTCCTTTTGTTATGGTACAGTTGATCATTACAGTAGAAAAACAAGCAGCGAAAAACAGTGAATAGATTTTTTGTGTTTTCTTTTTCTAACAATATATGCACTTATTTCAGCAGTTCTGTTTTCAGATTTATTTCAATTCCTTCTTTTCAAAGTGGATCATCTTGCCATGTTATCTCTAACTCTTTTGCCTTCAGCTCATGAGGTTCGAATAATTCCAGTTAGTTTCTCGATCATCTTTTCCATTTCCCAGTTTCATAAATTATGCTGTAGAAAACGCATTAAGAAGTTTTGTAGACAAAAATTTATTATGGAATTATTGCGGAGAGGTATTGGGTGCTATTAAAAGAGTATAAATTATATTATTTCAAAATATGCAGCTTTATTTATAAGTGTACCATCTTTGATACGAAATTCAGATTCAAATAAAATCTTAAATTATATTTCGTATTTGTGATTTATGTTATTTAATTGTTTCATCTTTTCGATGGAACAATTCATTTACTTTCTGCAGTGTAATGGAATCTGAATAAACTTTAACTGGTGGGTTTATAAAAATTCAAATAGCTTGAATTTTGTTCAGATGTATTTTCTGTGGTAATATTTGTGTTTTACCTTTTTTTCGTTTTGTTTTGTTCATCTACCTGATACATTAAAACCGTTCGATTAACTCTACATTCCATGTTGAAGTATTGAATTATTATTTGATTCAGTTTTTGATTAATGAAGAAATAACTGCTTGCAAAAAAAGATTGCTGTACTGCTAATACTTGTTATCGCATCTCAGGACTGTAAAAAGTAGTCTAGTCACGACCTCTTTTTCATTTTTGAAAACACTGATTCCAATGTCAATCAAATTATTAGTCGAAATTTAAGTTATTTGTTTCGAGTGAACTTGCTAAAATATGCTTTAGAAAAAGTAGAAATTAGAGCCTTCAGTTAGGGCTAATCAATACGAAATTTGATTGATCATAAAAGACAGTGAAGTCTTTTAAAGGATGTAAACCAACTAAAGGGGACCTTGAAAGGTATCATTCAATCCGCAATGCAGGAAGATTTTAGAAGGTATTAAACTTGGTTTTTTTGGTTTTTTTTTTAGAAATCTGGGAATGCTGAGTTCAATTAAATGAACATAGGAGGTCTGCTCTTGAATAGAATTTAAAGGAATGAGCTAGTGGAGGGGATTTCACTCGAAAAAGACTTGTTCAATTCCTGAGCAACTAATTTCAGTCCCGCAGAAATAGTGTGTATTTTAATTTAATCTTCATACTTCGTGAACTCAACATTTTCAAAATTTTGGTGATTTAAAGATTGATAATATGATGGTTTAAAAAGTTGAAAGATTTTCACTGTAGGAATAAATGTATTATTTACTAAATGTATAATCTAATCATAGGCATAGTTTAATTGTTTCTTGAGCTAAGTAAATTGTCCAATAGTTCATCTGCGGTGCAAAATGAGAATATATCGCTTAGCATTGATTTCATATGATGCTGTGACTTTGTGGTATTACACCTCACTTTCGCACAAGTTGAATCTAACCTTAGAGTGTTAGTATGAAATCAATCGTTGAGTAAGAATTTCTTTTCATAATTCATATCCATGAATAAAAAAGAAACTTTGTGAGGTGTGATTATCGCTGAAGTTGTTTTTGGAATTATTGGATGTTTTTTGTACTTTTATCAGTAGCATAAAATAATATAATTTATTAATTGTTTGAATGGGTTAAGTAAGTTGTTTTCCTGACTATCATGCTAAAATTCATCATTATTGTATAGTTGCTTATTCGTTTGTTGATAAAATGAAACAACTGTAGCGATTGTATTTATTCTATGCGGCTGTTGAAATTCATATTTTTGTAAAAGAACTTGCAAAACTTTTGCAATATAGCTTTTTAATTTCAGTACGGTGGAATTAATTCCATGGTTGCATTGTCTCGGAAAATGAGAAATGTAAGGCAGTAATTAGGTTCTTTGGAAATTATTTTTAAAATCAAAACACTGTCATGCTTATTTCCCTTTTTTTTTCTTTTTTTCTTTTAACATAAGGAATATTCTTCAGAGAAAATATGTTTCAATTGACAAAGTATGAACAAAATAGTGAAGCACGAATTTATTTTTGAGTAGGATTATAAGTCAGAATCAGAAAGCGCTGCTTAACTCGAGAAATGAAGTCAGACTTTCCTTTCCTATAGACTGGATGTTTAGCCAATTTATAGCATGCATTTCTCATTTTCAAGAAATGTTATTTTGTTGATATTCATGCGTGCTTTCAAATTTGACTGCTCAGCTGACATATTCATTCAGGCGATTGCAATCACGTCTCTAGCCTTGGACGCCACGACAGAAAGATACGAAGAAATCGAGTAGGTTTCTATTGCACTCTGGTAGGATTTGGAAATTTGGAAAACTTAAAATTTTCTGATGATATTCTATTTGATTTGTAGGTCTTTGAACACAGCATATTACTCAGTTTTTCTATTTTGACCTGCTACACTTAAGTAATAACAACCCTTTTGGATAGTAAGTTATTTTAATAAAGTATCAAAAGCTACCGCAAGTGACGTAAAATCAAAAACTCAGATCTCTTTTTCTCTCGATTAAATTAATGCAGAAAAAGATAAAAGTCCTGCAGTGGATTTATAGAATCTAACAACACTATCAAATGCTCGAAGATCAAAAGTTTACACCATCACTTTTCATGAATCCACAGAACATTTCAAATTAATGATGTATTGAAGAGAAAGATTGTTACATAGATATTTGACATGAAATATGCATCTATTTTCTAAAATAATATGCTATTAATTACAATTTCTTTATGATTTCATCAAATTATCATACTTACTTAGAATATTAGCAGGTAAAAGAGCTAATTGGAAGTCAGTCGAAACAATCATCCGATGATAGCGATGCAACAGCTGCTGCTATAATACGCGACCGGATTTATTCAACTAGCATTAAAAAGATTCTCTTAACACGCAAATACCACGACACCAATGTTTATAATGGTTTTATTTTTGAAACAATATTTAAAAAAAAAGTATTTTTGGGAGAGTTTGCATCAATATAAAATATGGGATAATGTTATGAGAAACTCTCTGATGGCATCACCTGCAACTATAAAACATTAATAGTAGCTCTTTACGAAGATAAAGCTGAGTTTCAAAAATTTGATGACTGCAAATTACTGGTAAAATATGAATAAATGAAAGTTTGAATTTTATAATTTGAAATTCACTGCTACCAGAAGTTCAGTGAGTACGTTCCAGATATTGGTATTCGAGTAATAGGTGGTAAAAAACTTCCAAATGGTGAACTTGCAGCTTTCGTATCGACAGTAAATCGTGGAAAAGCTCGGGAAACATTAGGCGAGATCAAAGAAGGTTCAAATTCATTAATTATCAGTTTTCATATGTAAACCATGTTAACAACTAAAACTGGTAGTAATACTTCGAAATAGAAGGTAGCGTGGCATCGTAAGAGCATTGTCTTTGTAAGCATCAATATCTTAATTAACATGGTAATAAAATAATAAAATTAAATCACAGATATTGTAAATCTCGGTACAAATCAGCGAGAGACGCCATATTATCGTTAGATTATTAAGATTGCTTATATCATTCATTTTAAATGAAATGAGTACTGTCAAAAAAGGGATGAAATTGAATTTTTCAGTCCTTTTTTAAAGATAGAATAAAAATAATAAACTTTGGATTATGTGTGGTTTTAAAATGAGGGAGGAAAAAGAAGAATAAATTCATGAGCTTCATTTCATGGCATTATGCATTATTTTGTTGAAGATTTGATAGAAATCTGTTGTCATGATCCTGTTTAGGAGATCGTGTTCTCGAATGGAATGGTGTATTA